CCCTCCCCTCCTTCTCGTCCCAGCTGAGCTTCGAGACGTCGCGGACCGAGAGCAACTCGACGTCACCGTCGCCGCCCGCGTCGAGCACGACGACCTCGCGCGGCTGGCTCAGCTCCGTGCCGACGGCTCGCGGCGCGAATCCACACGTAGACGGGGCTGCACCGTGGCGGTCGCCTGGTGGCCGCCGCGTCCGAGCGCGCCGTCTCGGCGGAGCTCGAGCCGCGACGTCCGGGCGGAGCTCGAGCGCCGCGGCGTCCGTCGTCGAGCGGTCGGAGTCGAGTCCTGCGAAATCTCATTGACCGCGGGGTGCGTGGCCTGGGAGCGCGCCGCGATGGCCTCCCGCTCCTCGCCGACGACGACGTTGCGGCACGGCATCGGCGCCGCTGCCGCGCCTGCTGGGTAGGGTGAAAACCGCCGCCCAGCTCGCGGCGCAGCTCGCGGCGCTCGTCGCGCGCGCGCTCGTCGCGCGCGCGCTCGTCGCGCGCGCGCTCGTCGGCGACGCAGCCGACGCGCTGGAGCACCGCGAGCACGCCGCACCCGACCCGTTCAAAGTCGGGCAGCCCTCTCATCGATCGAAAATCCAATGGCTCGCTTCAATTTATTCGCAAAGCGTCGTTGAGCCTCGATTGCACACCACGGGTCGCAACTCGTGAAGACGTTGGCCTCGGCGGTGCTCGATGCGACGCGCCGTCGTGCTGCTGCTCGCCGCGTCGACGCTCCTGGGCTCAGCCACGGCCGCCTCCGCCGCCCCCGTCGCCCTCCTGAAGGCCATGGTCGACGACATGGACGAGACCAACGACCATTCGTTGTTGCCGGCGACGAGTCGCTTCCCCGGCGTCACGCCGTTGGAAGCGGCCGCCCTGGCGCACGTCACCTGCAAGCCCGAGGGCCGCGTCCACAACCTGACGCTCGAGCTCCCGGCGGGCGCCGAGTACGCGGAGCCGCTTTACGTAGACGCGTACCTCCTGGGTTTGTACCGCGAGGAGCCGCACATGCTGAAGCTCCTCGCGACGCACTTCCGCGACGAACGCGCTATCCTAGTGACGGACCCGCGGACGTGTGCGCCCGGCGCCCCGCGGAAACGGCGCGCGCGCGGTCGCGCCGCGGTCGCGAGGGATTCGCGAGCCCCTCGCCCCGGGATCGGATCGCTCGCGCGGACGCTCGCGTGGCGATTTTCGACGGACGTTCAACTCCGCGTGTACCACAGGTACGGCACGCCGATCACGCGCGAGACGAAGGGCTGGACCGTCTACGACCTCGCGCTGCGGTTCGCGAGCCGCGACGAGGTCGCGGCGTTGCTTCGCCGCGAGTTTAGGAGCGCGCGCGTCAAGGAGGCGCTCAGAAAGCACCACGAGAACCTCGTCCGCCTCGGCATCACAGGAGCGCACTACTGGCACTACATCGGCTGCGCGCTCAGCGCCTACGAGCGACTTCTAATCCACCTGTCCGGCGCAGGGCAGGAAAAGAGAGCGAAATTCCCAACTTCAAAGGCTCCGATCTCGGCCGTTTTCCACTCGTTTCGGCTGATTTTTGGACGAGCGATCATCTCTCGGAACGGTCTCGAAGCATGGATGCTTTTTCAGGACCGCGCGCGCGCGGAACACTCATGTTGAAGCGACGTTGAATCACCCTTTTGCTGCCCAGGTCCGGCGTCGAGGGCTTCCTCATCTCGCTGGTCATGATCGAGCCGGCGCTCGAGGCCACGAAGCGCCTCGTGCACGTCGCCCTCGTCTTCCCCCAGAGCCAGACCAAGACCTACCAGTGGGCGCGGACCCGTGTCTTGTATTTTTTCTCGCAGCGCGCGAACAACCGCGCGTTCCCGTAGGAGATGCTGGGCGGCCAGAGCTTCCACGCGGGCCGCGGCGGCCTCACGATCAACGAGGGCCACACGGGCGCCTCGCGCTACACGACGCACGACGGCAAGGGCCAGCTCGCGCTGCGCGTGCTCCTGTCCGAGAAGCACCAGCAGGGCGAGCTGTGCGGCGGCGCGGCCGTCGACTACCTCGCGGACCACGACAACGTCGGTCTCTCCGCGGGCCTCAAGGCCTTCTTGATGCAGCCGTTTTGGTTCGACGTGCTCGAGGGCGAGGACCCACTCAAAACGAAGGTTCGGTACCTCCACGAGCTCATGTCCGCGCGCGGCGGCGACGCGCGCGCCAAAATCGTCTACGACCTGCGGGCTCGCCTCGCGGACGAGCTCGGCGTCCGCCTCTACCTCGACAACAACGGCAGCGGCCGGAGCTACTGGGCCTTCCCGCACGACCACGCGGCCGCCGAGGCCGCGGCGCGCGCCAAGGAGGCGGGCACGTCGGTGGCCGCGGCCCTGGAAGGGGTCCGCGACGCTTTCGAGGTCGTCGCGGACTACCGCGACCCGCAGCTCGACGACGACGAGGACCTGGCGGTGCGGGTCCGGCGCTACACGCGCGACTCGCGCTTCAAGTCCGTGGCCGAGTCCGGCCTCGGGTCGCCGGCGGACAAGCAAGGCGCGCGGGACCGCGCGCGACAGAAGGCCAAGCGCGCCGAGGACCCGGACGCCTGGGCCGAGAAGCGCCGCGCGGACCAGGCGAAGAGCAAGGCGAAGAAGAAGCGCGAGCGCGCCGCCGCCGCCGAGGCCGACGTCGCCGCCGCCACGGCCGTCGTCGACGCCGAGGCGCACGAGCGCCGCCAGGCCGCGGAGAAGGAGGCCGCGGAGCGCGACGGCCGCGCCGCCGCCGCGCTGGAGGTCGAGGCCGCGTTGGCCGCGGCCGCGGCCCAGCGCGAGCGCGACGCCGTGGCCGCGGCCAAGGCCGCAGACGCGGCCGTCGGCGACGCCGCCGCCGCGGCCCTCGCCGCCGCCCAGGCCCTCGTCTCCCAGGCCGAGGCCGGCAGCGCCGCGACCGCCGAGCGCGACCGGCGCGCCGCCGCGGCGTCCGCGGCGGCCGACGTCAAGCGCGCCGACGCCGCCGCCGCCACCGTCGCGGCCGGCGAGCGCGACCGGCGCGCCGCCGAGGCCCTCGCGTCCGCCAAGACCGCGCGCCTCGCCGCCGTCGCCGCGGCGCCCGCGCCGAAGAAGAAGCCGAACCCGCCGAAGCCGCCGAAGAAGGCCAAGGCCGCGTCCGTCTCTTTGCTTTTGCAAGAGTCGCGGGCCTTGGGCCTCGACCTCGAGTCGCACGAGGACGACGCGCGCTACATCTTCGTCGCGCACGTCCACGACGGCGGCCAGTGCGCCGCGGCCCTCGCGCGGCAGCGCCTCGAGTCCGCGGACTTGCTCGGCGCGCGGCTGGTCCTCGTCAACGGCGAGGCCACGTGGGCGCTCACGCCCGACGTTCTACAACGCACGTTGGCGCGCCAGCGGCCGCTGGACCTGCGGCTGGAGCTGGAGCTGCCGCCGCGGTCGCCGCGGCGCGAGTCGACGCCGCAACAGCCGCTGCCGCTGCCCGCTTCGCTCGCGTTCGCGCCCGCGCTGTCGCCCTACGGCTACCCGCCGGCCGCGCGGAAGATGCAGCCGAAGGCGCTCAAGACGCTCGAGGCCGGCGGCGCCGGCCTCAAGACGGATGGGGACTGGGAGAAGTTCCGCACGGACAACTTCTGCTTCTTCCGCGACTTCACGGTCGAGGGCCTCAAGGAGAAGTACAAGGAGATGGAGTAGGTCTAGGTAGGCGGATCCGCTGCTAGGCCGTGGTTTAAGGAAGCGCGCGCTATCAGGGACCCGCAGGTAAAGCAGCCACCGACGAAGCCGTCGTCGACCTCGTCCACGCGGACGAGTCCCGCGAAGAGGTTGAGGCACGCCGCGGGCACGCCCGCGTCGACCTCCAGGTCGACGTCGCGGGCGCCGGCGCGGCCCGCGAGGAGAGTCGGCAGTAGCGCAACGCCGTCGACCTCGACCTCGCGGCCGCGCAGCTTCCTCGCGCCGCCGCGCCTCCGCGAGAGCGCGTCCGCCGGCCGGTACCCGACGGCGACGTCGGCGAGCCTGCCGACGTGGTCCATGATGTGGCGGCGCGCGACCACGACCAGGGCGGCAACGAACACGTCGTTCTCAAGGCGCAGGGGCAGGCCGCCGCACTCCTCGACGCCGTGGAAGAGCGTCGCGAAGGCCAGGTAGCTGTACGGCCGCGAGCGCGGACCGCGCATGGCATGACGGCGACGTCTTCGAGCACTGCCACGCGTGGTCGTCACGGACCGCATCGCCGCCTCCGCCGCGGTGCGGCGCCAGCTGCAGCGCCGCGAGCCGCGAGCGCGCCGACGCGACGTAGAGGTCGGCCGCGGCCGCGCCGGCGTGCCCGAGCACGGCACGGCATCCCGAGCGTCGCGCGGCGTCGGCGCGCCGCGCGCCGCGCGCCGCTCGTCACGACGCGTCCATGCACGTGTAGAGCGGCGCGAGGTGGCCGCCGAACCTATCGCCGCCGCCTAGCCGAGGCCGAAGCAGAGCACGGCGCCCGCGGCAGCGACTCCGACGCGCGCGCGGCGTCGCCTCGCGCAGCAGATGCGGTACTCGCAGCAGATGCGGTACTCGCAGCAGATCTGACGTTTCATTGCTGTCTGTCGACGCAGCTCTCGACGCTCAGGAGCGCGCATTGGGGCGCGGGAGAGCCGCTTCTCGACCGCTCGGCAACGCTGAACCTACGTTGCCTTCGATTTTGCCCGGGGCATGGCCGCGTGACGGTCGCCACGCGCTGGCGATCTACCCAGCCTTATGTTCGATGCCGCGCGTAGCCCACCCGTCCGGGGGCGCGGTGAATCGACGCGCTTCGTGCCGCAGCAGACGTCGTCACCTCATGCAGTCGGGTGACAGCTCCGGCGGGACGAGCCACCGCGCCGGCGGCCGGACGGGTCGCCGCTGATAAGGGCGCGAAGACCGCCTGCGCGCGATCCGCGCTTGGAAGCCTCGTCCAGCGGAGCGCGTCGCGCCGCTCTAGCCAGGGCCGCCGTTTTGCCCCCGGCGGCGGCTGTAGATCCCTACTCCCGCTGATCGGCGAGGCCAGGGTGTTGGTCGTCTCGCGCGCCACTTTGGAGACGCCGCGATGTCGGACCCGACGGCCGAGGATTTCCTCGTGAACCAGCAGATCAAGGACTTCGCCTTCGACCTCCACGACGCGACGCGGCGGTCCCACCTCGCCGAGGACATCAAGCGCCTCTACACGGTCGAGTTCAAGGAGCTGAGCGAGAAGTACTGCGACAAGCAGCCCTGGCCCGTCGCCGAGGCCATCGCGTCGCAGTGCATCGGCAACGACGGCGCCCCGGACGCCTACTTCCTCTGCGTCTACCGCGAGCTCATGTTCCGCCACATGTTCGCGAAGCTCAAGACGACGCTCGAGGATCGGCTCGCGGCGTGGGCCAACTACCGCGCGCTCTTCGACTTCGTGCTCGCGGGCGACGACGCGGCGACGGAGCTGAGCAGCCAGTGGGTCTTCGACATCCTCCACGAGTTCGTCTACCAGTTCCAGTCGTTCTGCCAGTACCGGACGCAGAACTCGGGCCGGAGCGCCGAGGAGCGGAGCCTGCTCGAGGCGTCCGACGCCTGCTGGCACGCGCCCACCGTGCTGGGCTACCTGCTCCGGCTCGCGGAATTGGGCCGCGCGGCCGACGGCCCCGCGGGCCGCGCGCGCGCGCCGAGCCCGCTCCACTACCAGATGGGCTACTTCGCGACGATCTCCCGGAGCCGCGTCGAGTGCCTCTTGGGCGACTACGAGGCGTCCGTGGCGGCGCTGGGTGCCGTGGACCCCTTCGACGAGGGCGCGGAGTTCGCCAAGATCTTCTCCTGCCGGCTCAACGTGCTCTACCACCTCGGCTACAGCCTCATGATGCTCAAGCGGTACCGCGACGCGCTCGCGACGTTCGACGGCGTGCTCGCGCACCTCGCGCGCCTCGCGAAGCACGGCGGCCTCCAGCGCTTCCCCGCCGCGGACCAAGTCCAAAAAATGAACGACCGCATGCTCGCGCTCTTCGCCATCGCGCTGGCTTTGGCCCCGGGCTTCCCCGTCGACGACGGCGTCGCGGCGGCGATCAAGGACAAGTACGGCGACAAGATGGCGCTCATGGAGCGCGGCGACGCCGCGACCTTCGACAACATGCTCACCTACGCGTCGCCCAAGTTCGTCGTGCCGTCCATCCCCGACTACGGCGCGCCCGTGAACAGCAGCCACGACGCGTACAAGCAGCAGATCCGCCTCTTCAACGACGAGGTGCTCCAGCAGCAGAAGCTGTCCAAGATCCGCTCCTACCTCAAGCTCTACACGTCCATCGGCCTCGACAAGCTCGCGCGCTTCAACGACGAGTCCGTCGCCGCGTTCCGCGCGCAGCTCGTCGGCATCAAGGCCAAGCTCCGCCTCGACGACCGCAAGCCCATCGGCGCCGCGCGCCTCGACGCCGCGGGCGGCGCCGACGACATCCACTTCTACGTCAAGGGCGACATGATCCACGTCGACGAGCCCGCGACCCAGGCCGCGCGCCACGACGACTTCTTCGCGAACCAGATGAAGAAGTACGACGACTACATCGAGGTCGTCAAGGGCCTCGACGCCAAGCCCCCGCCGCCGCCCGCGTCGCCGCGCGCGGCCCAGGACCGCGACTGAGCCGGCGGACGCGATCCCCCCGCCGCCGCGCCCCCCCCCTCGTAACCTCAGCCGAACGTGTTACGCCAGCCGCCGCACTCGTCGTAGAGGAACGCGGACAGCGCCACGGCGGCGTCCGCGCCGTCGGGCACGTCGCTCCAGATCTCCGGCTCGTCGCGCCGGCGCGCCAAAACCTCCGCGCGCGAGAGGCGGCCGTCGAGCTCGACGCGCAGCGGCGGCAGCGGGACCTCGGGCCGCGCGGCCGCGCCGTGCCGCGCGCCGACGAGGCTCCGCGGCGCGCGGAAGTGGCCGCCGCCGCCCTCGCGCCAGTAGGTCATCGCCGCGCCGCTGTCGTAGTCCCGGGCGAGGCGCACGAGCGCGCGCCGCTCCGCGAGCGGCGCGGCGCCCTCGTCCTCGAGCAGCGGCAGGCCGAACGCGAGCGCGCCCGCGTCGTGCGCGACCGCGGCCTCGGCGACGGAGCGCATCGACGCGAGCTCCTCGGGCGACCACGCGAGGCGCTTGTCCGCGAGGCTCCGCCGCGGCACGACGACCGACGGCAGCGACGTCGCGTGGCCGAGGTAGGGGTCCGTGACGGCCAGGCCGAGCCGGAGCGGGTGGCTGTCGAAGGGGCTCACCTGGGCGACGACGCAGAGGATCGTGCGCGTCGGCGGCAGCTTCTCGAAGAGGAGCTTCGGCGCCAGCATCATCGCGTCAGCTGCGACGAGAACGCAGCAGCTGCGTGCGGAGGCGTGCGAGAACGCAGCAGCCGCGTGCGAATGCGTCGGAGACCTCCGCTGCCGCAAGGTTTTGGCGAGTCTTCAAATTCAGTGCAAATGGATGATACGTTTGACGCCCGGCCGCGCTAGCTTAGCACCAGCCTCTGGGCCTGGCTGTTGGCGTGACGGGCGCGGCGGCGCCCGGCACTTTGGGCGGCCATGCGGCGGACGGCGCTGCAGAACCACAGCGCCGATGGCTTCGGCCCGCAGATCGTGCAGTGGAAGGAGGAGGCGGCGTCGGAGCCCGTCTTCGTCAAGGGCACGGAGTTCGCCGCCTTCCGGCCGCCGGAGGCGTCCCTGACGATGACGGGCGAGGAGGCGACGGTGGCGGACCTGCGGGACGTGGCGGGGTTCCTGCAGCACCTCGAGGAGAAGATGGCGCGCATCCAGGCCGAGAGCGCGGAGCTCCTCGGCGACCGGGCCGCGGCGCCGGCGTACGTCGAGCTCGACCCGCGGCGGCTCTCGACGACGGGCGAGTACCTGGGCCCGCGCACGCTCCGGTCCCGGGAAATCGCCGAGCTCGCGGGCGCGGGCCTCTTCCCGCTCGACGACGACGCCGCGCGGCGCAAGGCCGACGGCGCCGTCGAGGGCTACCTCAAGGAGTTCAAGTACCGGAAGCGCCTCGTGCACCGCTGCGTGAAGATCCAGTCCTACGAGCGCATGCGCGTGCGCCTGAAGTGCTTCCGCCTCTGGGTGGCCCGCCGGCGGCGGAAGCTGCGGCACCACGTCTACGCGTGGCGCGCGTGCACGAACGCGGACCTCTTCTTCGACAAGCACTGCCTCAACAAGAACTTCCACGCGTGGCGCGAGCAGGCGCGGGCGAACAAGCAGCAGCGCGCCGTGACCTGGGCCATGTTCGAGCGGCGCCTCGGCCGCGAGCAGCTCACGGTCTGCGCCGTGAACCTGTTCTTCGACGCGCAGGACATGCCGCCGCCGCCGTCGGCGAACATCGAGGCCGTGAACATCGGCATCCGGCGCAAGATCTACAAGCTGATCCTGCGGGGCTGGACGGACTACCTCGTGGAACAACGGCGGAACCACGTCGCCGCGGCCATGGCGCTGGAGCGCGCGCTGCGCAAGGCGCCGGGGAAGCGGCTCGTCGTCGAGACGGTGCACCTCGCGTACCACATGTGGCGGCGCCTCGCGCAGTTCAAGAAGGCCGTGCGCGCCATGCGGAACCCGCCGCGCTTCGCGACGCCCCAGCTGCCGGAGTGGGACGCCTACGTCCTGCTCTTCACGCAGCGGCGCGTGCGGCGGAAGCGCGCGGAGAAGCGCGGCCGCGCGGCGCGCGCGCGGCGGTGCCACCGCGCGTGGCGCGACGTCGTCGTGCGGCGGCGCCTCCTCGAGGACGCCGTGGAGCGGTCGCGGGCCCAGCTCATGGAGGCCTTCATGGTCCAGGCGCTGCGGGAGTGGAACGCGTTCTGCCGCACGCGCGGCCGGACCGTGCGGCGCACGGCCGTCTACTTCGCCGCGTGGGCGCAGTGGGCGCCGCGGAAGCGGCGCCTGCGCCGGGCCAAGGTCCAGTGCGTCGACAAGGCCAACGGCTGGTGCGGCGGGCGCGCGATCCGCGCCTGGGTCGCGCGCGTCCACTCGGCGCGCGTCTTGTACGCGTACCAGCTCGCGCGGGGTCTCGCGCTGCGCCCCGACGCGGTGTCCGCGGACTACGAGCGGCGCGTCGACGAGGAGGTCGCGGCGCGCGACGACGCCAAGGAGGACAACGCGGCGCTCGGGGCCGTGAAGAAGGCCGCGGCGCTCGACGGCTTCGACGCGCGCGTCGTCCACGCGCGGCGCTACCACGCGGCGCTGTCGAGCGGCTTACTGTTTTGCGACCGCGGGCCGCACTGGGCGTTGTTGCAGTGCCTGCGCGCGTGGAAGAAGGTCGTGAAGCGCATCGTCGTCTGGCGCCAGCACCGGTTTTTGTATCTGCGGGGGCTCGTGAACCACCTCGCGCGGACGGTGCTTTTGGCGTGGCAGTCCGTCGCGTCGGGCGCGCCCGTGCCCGGCCTGCTGCCCAACGGCGCGCGGCTGAGTTTAGATCCATTGCGCCCGCTGGACCGCGCGTCGGAGACGGCGATCCGGCTCGAGCGGGGCCACCGCGCGGACGCGTACGTCGACGACCACGTCTACGCGTTCACGTCAGGGCAGCAAAAGAGAGCGAAATTCCCAACTTCAAAGGCTCCTTTCTCGGCCGTTTTCCACTCGTTTTGGCTGATTTTTGGACAAGCGATCATCTCTCGGAGCGGTCTCGAAGCGTGGGCCCTTTCTTTGGAACGCGCGCGCGCAGAACACTCACGTTGAAGCGACGTTGAATCACCCTTTTGCTGCCCAGGTTCACGTACGGCGGCGACGCGCGCGACGCGGACCCGGCGACGGAGCGCGACACGTACCGCAAGCGGCAGGCGCTCGAGGCCAGGGGCTCGAAGCACGACACCGACGCGCTGTGTAAAGCCGCGGACGCGGGCGACGTCGACGCCGTGAAAAGGCTTTTAACGGAGGGCGCGAACCCGAACGCGACGCTCGACGACGGCACGCTCCGGCGGCCGCTCCACTTCGCGGCGACGCACCTGGCGCCGCGCTTCGCGCCCTGCGTCGCCGTGCTTTTGCACTGCGGCGCGAGCCCGACGGCGCAGGAGGCGAACGGCCGCGCGCCCGCGGACGTCGCGACGAACCCGCACGTCGCGAAGATGCTCATCTGCCACGCGAAAAGGTTGGAAGAGAAGGCCTACAGCGCCAAGGAGCGCCGCTGGCTCCTGGAGATGGAGCTCGAGGAGCTCCAGGGCTTCGTGAGCTCGAAGCTCATCTGGCGGTTTCTAGCGTACCGCGCGCTGGGCGTCGTCGCGTGCCAGCTCGAGCTCGAGCTCGACCGGTCCGACGAGACGCCGCCCGTCGGCGAGCCCGTGTCCGGCGAGACGGAGTGCGCCGCGCGCGCGAAGCACCAGCTCGAACTGGAGACCAAGTGGAAGAAGGGCACGGACGCGACGAGCTCCGGCTTGGCCAAGGTGCTCGCGGTGAAGCAGAACATGGCCGACTCCGTGGCGTCGGCCGAGACGGACGCGGAGCAGTGCCTCGGGCGCCTCGTGCGCATTTTGAAGGCGCGGCGCGCGCTCGAGCAGCAGCAGCGGCAGCCGACGAACGAGGAGGAGTGGCTCCAGGTCGGCGATTTTACATTAGAGTTCAAGAAGGCGCGCGCGGCGCACGAGGCGAGGCTCGAGGCGAAGAAGCGGGCGGAGCAGGAGGCGCACGAGATCAAGACGGGCGCCGTCGCGCCGCCGAAGCGCGCCGCGAGCCCGACGGGCGGCAAGCGGCGCCAGCGCGACCTCCACCTCGCGCTGGACGTCGCGGCGAAGCGGGACAACGTGCGCTTCGAGCCCGAGCCCTTCGAGGCGCCCGACGACGAGGAGATCCCGGGCACCTTCGCCGCGTGCGCGCGCGCGACGGCGTGGCTCAACGAGTGGAAGCACTCCGTCGCCGAGTACAAGCGGAGCCGCGACCCGTCGAAGACGCCGACGCCGACGCTCGCGGCCGTGACGTCCATGCTCGAGAAGGAGGCGCTGCGCCGGGGCCGGAACCTGCAGGGCCAGGTCGACCGCGACGTCGCGCGGCTCCGGCGGGGCCTGCTCATCGAGACGCACGCGGCTTATGTGGACCTGCTCCAGCTCAAGGCGCCCCCAAAGGTCGAGGACGACGAGGCGAAGAAGAAGGACGACAAGGTCGACGACGACGGCGCGCCCAAGGCCAAGGCGCAGCGCGACCTCAGCGAGATGCCGCACCAGCTCGCCATGTGGACGACCGACGGCGACGCGTCGACGCTCGCGCCGTCGCTGAAGCCGGGCGTCGTCGTGAATCATCGGGTGGAGGTCGCGGAGTTCCGGGATTGCCCGCTCGTGTCGGTGGCGCCGAACCCGGGCCGGTCGTTCATGTGGGACGCCGCGCGGGCCTTCCGGCGCCTCGACGGGAACCCGGAGCTCGACGCTTTGATCAACGAGTGCATGCCGCCCGTCGTCGAGGAGGAGGAGGAGGTCGAGGAGGTCGCGAAGACCTTTGGGTTCATGCAGTCGACGGCGAGCCAGCGCGTGTCGCTCAAGGTCGGCGAGAACCAGCGCGCGGCGTCGCGCGAGCGCGACCCCCATTCCCGGCCCCTGCCGTCGGCCGGCGACACGGGCTCCGGCGGCTCGGGGGACGAGATGTCGGCCGCCGCGGAGGGGTCCGCGGCCTCCTCCAAGGCGCCGAGCCGCCGCAAGTCGA